GCTCAATTTAAAAAAAAAAAAAATCAACCAATCGTCGAAGAAAATGTTAGTTGTTATTTTAATGTAATGTAATATCATTTTTTTGTTGTTTATGAATGTTTAAAAGATATATTTGGTTAATTGAGTGTTGTTTAGAAAATCTTGAATGTTGGTTTAATAGTTGTGTTAAATTATTATAATTTGCTATTGTATGATGGGTTTTTGTTGCATGTTGAATATTAATCCGAATTGTTTATGAATTTGATGTTATTGTTGGATTATGATGATTATGGTTTTGGTGGTGTTTTTGATAAACTAATTGACATTTTTTTTTGTTGGAGTAAAAATATGATTAATTATATGTTGTTGTTGGAAATGAGTTTTAATTTTAGATTGGTAAAATAATAAATGAATTTTTCTCGGGTGTTTGATTAGCCCCGTTTTCATGTTGTTGTAATTTGTAAAATAGAACTTTTTTTGTTCAACAAGTTATAAATGACGACTAACGGTCTTTACTTTGTTAATGTGTACTGAAAAATTCCCCAGAGTGAGTTATGGAATTTTTCGAATTATTTTGCTCGTCCGGATTGTTCACCTGTTATTAATTGAATAATATCATATGAACAATTGGTAGATATAATTTACGAAAATGGTGGATTTCATGATAGTTGGACAATTTCGGATATTACTTTGATGGCCAAACAACCGGATGGTTCATTTATTCCCACAAAATTGAATAATATGATAGTGCTCTTTCTTAAAGAAGAAGAATAGGCAGTCACGCCTGGACCGACCGCAACATCGTTTTCTTCGGTACCACGGCCTCCTTGGAAAGGGTCCCGAATACGCAAGCCTACGAATCCATATACTCCTAGTTAGTTAGTTTTGTGGACATTTTCTTTTTTTCTTTCATTTTTTGTATAGTATTTTGAGATATTTATTTTGATGATTTTGTGTACATATTTTGTGGTTCACTTTTTTATATTGTTAATTGTGGTTGACTTTTTTGTACTAGATTATTATTTGTCGAATGAATTGATATTAAAGTGATATTGTTTCGTGTTCAAAAAGTTAAATCAAAATTTATAAAAAATATTCATAATGAAGGATAAAAATAAAAATTCAGCCAAAATAAACGCGTTCGCTAGTAAACGAGTTCGTGAGCATCCAAGAGTCGAACCCTAACTTAAAATAAATAAATAAATAAACAAAAACAGATTTTAAGATTTAGTATATAACAATCTCAGTCAACTATAATGTAATCGAACTCGAATTAGTATATAATATATATACTATGTTATAGTTTATACTATATAATATATACTATATATTACATTATATACTATATGATATTATATAGTATATATTATATTGTTTGTAATATACATGTATATAAGGGCATCCGCATTCGTTTAACAAAACATTCACTCATTCAATAAAAAAGTTACACTCTCTCTCATTCACATCATTTTTCCACCAAATCTCTCTCCATTTAAACACACACTCACATTCATACTCATTCATTTAAATGTATATGTGGGATCCATTATTCATTCATTCAATATAATTTTTTATATTCTATTCTCAACAAAAATAATAATTTAATATTTTATAATTATAATAATTATCTTTAAATACTTGAAAATAAAAGAACACTTTAAGGCAAAATAACTTAAATTGAGATTACACAAAAAAAAAATTATAGAATTACAAAAATAAATTAAATATAAAAAATTTTTTTTGAATAAATAACTATTTTAAAACAAAAAAAAAGATTGAATAAACAATTATTTTAAAAACAACAAAAAAAATGAAAGAAAACCACAAGAAAGAAAAAAAGTAAAGAAAGCAAACCAAAAAAAAAAAAGACGGCAGGAAGGAAAAAAAAAAAGAAAAGAAAGCAAAAAAAAAAAAAAAAGAAAAAACAGAAAGCAGCATAAAGGGCGTTCAAAGGATTGAACGCCAACCTGGACCCCACAGATATAATGAACGGCCGCAATGGGATGAATGGCAAATTGGCGTTTAAACGGAGCTGAAAAATGCCCCAATGCGGATGCTCTAATATGGTAACATGGTAGATTATAATATATATGTATATGTATATAGTATATATTAGAAAGACTATATACTATAAAAAATATTGATATTGAAGTATAAGAATAAAATTTGTGCAAAAATGATAGAGATAGCCTAGAGCGGCCTAATGGTAGAAGTTGTGTCTGGAGAAAACGGACTCGCCCACATGTATAGGGTTCGAGTCCTGAATTTGGGGTCTTTCTACCATTTAATTTTTTTTTGGATCACGGATTCTGAGAATCTGTTGTTTCAATTTAATAAAATTGAAAATTCATTTAATATAAAAAATAAATAAATAAATAAAAACGGATTCTGAAAATCCGTTTTACGTTAAAAAATGGATTTTCAAAATCCATTTTAAAGAAAACGGATTACCATAATCCGTATTTTATTTAATTAATTAATGTTAATCACAGGATTAAGAAAACAAGGACTTTGAAAATCTGTTTTCCCTGCAAAATTAAGGAAAACAGATTCTAAGAATCCATGTTCCTTAAAACACGGATTCTCAGAATCCGTCTGTTTGATTTTTTTCCACAATTTTTTTTTTATTATTTTTGTCCAATTATTATTCTTATTATTATTTTAAATAAATAAATGATTCCATTTTGTTGTCTATTTTCGGTAAAAAAATAAAGAGATATTAAATGAATGATGCTATAATTCATTACTAGTGCGTTGCTCGTGCGATGCACGGGAAAATAGTATTACAATTGTGTAATAAGTTAAATATACAAATAAATTTATCAAGATTTACCTATCTTTTTAAGATTAATTGTGTTGGACATAGTCCGACCGGATGAACCGAAAATCAATTTATAATTAGTCTAGTTCACTTGAATAAAATATTTGATTTGAATCCGTCAATGCCAGCCGGTTGTACTGGTAGGATCATACGATTTTCTAAATAAATTTTGCTATACTTAAAATTATTTTAAATAAAATTACCTATTTAAATAAAATAAAGATTTATCAATTGATTTAAAAACTTAAAATTTTAATTGTTTAGATATTAATTAACACATTTTATTTAAATTTATTACAAAAAATACCATTATATATATATTAAACCGTATTTTTAAAGAAAAAAATTAAATTGTATGATTTTTATAAATTAGATTGTATGATTATATTAAAGTGTATTTATAAATTAAATTATATAATTTTTATAGAAATGAATAAGAAAAATAATAAAACTACTATTTATGGATTGCATTAAATGCTGACCTATTTTTTTGCAACTAATCTATACTTATATAAAAAGTCATCGCATTTACTAGAATTAGTAGGAAAAAAAGTCAACTCATAATTAATTGCACAACATATTTAGAAAGTTTTTAGATTGTTTAAATCATAAAATAGGATAACATTAAATGTCCCTAAAATTATAGGTTTTGTTGAATTCATTTTTAATAAAATCTGCATCCAAATTTACGTGTGGTTTTGAAGTGATAATTTGAAATTTAAGATATCTTCTCATTTTAGTTACAATAAAATTGGGTTGCATTAACACTTGGACCAATTTAAAAATTATTCCTTCAATGAAGGAATTTATAGATAATTGTTATATATATCCAATCACATGATTATTTTCAATATAAAAAAAGACAGATTACAAATTAGTGAATTTTATAATACGTAATTCAATATCTTAACATCAACGAATAAATTCATAGTATTATGTAAATATGTATCTCATATTATTATATCATTAAGAATATATTATAGTTATATTATCAAATCATAAAAATATATTAAATCCATATTGTAAAAAAAAAATTATTTATTTTTATCAAGGTTTTAAATAGCGGGCTAAAACCTTTATGGCACTGTAGCTATAATTAACGGAGCTATAGCGGAGATTTAGCGGCTAAATTGCACATGAATACAAATATCGGCACGCTGCCAAAAAAAGATATTTCTCAAATAGCGGCAACTTTAGCGAGCTATTTATTTCCTTGATTTTATTTTTACTACACTATTTAATAGTATTCTTTTTTATTCTATAATAAAATAATAATTAAATATTATATGGTGAACAAGAATAAGTAAACATGTTACTTTCTCTTATATAAATGGATAAATTATATGCTACAATTAAATTTTAATTAGTATAATTATTTTAGTGAGATAATATATTAATTACTTTTACAAGCTACCCCTAACATTCTCATATTTAATGTTATGGCTAAAAAAACAACGCTGGTTAAAAGATGTGGAAAAAACTTATAACCCTATTGTTTTTTTAGACTTAACTTTGATTAAAAGAGGAAGAAAATAGATAATAACCATATTACTTTTTTTTTTTTACTTAAACGGACAAAGCTGTGAAAAATAACTATTTTTTAATATCTTTGTTCCGTGCATCGCGCGAAGTACGTACTAGTTTCAATAAATATAATGACTTTTAATATAAGTATAAATATAAATGTCATAGTGGGTTCATAATAATTTGATGGTCTACATCTCATGTTAAGTGAGTGCTACTCCGTCAAATCTAATGGTCACAATTAGCTTTCAATATCGAAAGAGTAAAATAAAACGAAGGGCTACTCCCCTAACTTTATTAAGAGAAAATGTATTTTATAATTTGAAAATTAATTAACTTTATTGAGTAAGAGAAAATGTATTTTATATTTTAAAATCAATTAAATAATTTATAATTTTAAAAGTTGTTTTTTTCAAATTTGGATAGGGATTAGGAAACGAAGGGCTTTTATATTTATGTGTGTACATATCTGGGGAGGGGACGGTTGTGTTGACTTCATTCATATATCGAGGTTTATATATATATATATATAGCGTTTGTGAAATTGACGATGGATTGTGACGAGAAAGGTGCCGATTTCTCAATGGATGTAAGTCAGATGTCGATTTTGTCAATAATTTTATGATATTGTTGTCTGCTGTGGTTTTTGTTGGAATGAATTGGGTTTTTTTTTTAGGTTTCTAAGATGGACAAATATGAATATGTGGATGATGATGAAGATTATGATGTATGGGGTAAAATTGAGCCCCTCCTCGACTACATAAATCCCCATGCTTTCGATTGTCTTTATACGGTGCGTGTTATTCTGTTCAGGTGTGTCGTGATCTTACGTTTGTTTGTTGCTTCTGTTCATTTGTTCGGATCTTACTTTTGTTTCTGAAACTCTGTTCGTTGTTTTTCCTCATCTTACGTTTGTTATTGAAACTTTGTGTTCTTTCCTAGACGGACGGCATCCGTTTATTGGCTGAAAAGATATCTGAAAATATGCCGGAGCTTAAGGAGTTGGTCTTGGAGATAAGAGGACTACTCAACGCCGATTTACTGCATACTGTCAGTATGAAAAATTTGGATGCCAAAGCCAAGGAGATTTTAAAAAGACACGACTTTTTGGAAGCCACTGAAGAGGCCCTTTATTATTCGGTATCATTTTGCTACCTATCGTGATATTATAACTCTCTTTTTGGAGGAATTGTTCCTATCATGATATATATATATATATAACTCTTGTTTTTTCTCTTGTTCCCTTTGGCAGTGTGGAATCTTGGTGGTTCATCTCGAAGACTATTGCAAAACAAAAGATGTTGGAGATCGAATGCTTGGGATCAAGCAAGATCCGTGTTTCGAGCCCTTCTTAGGATGGACAGACCCATTTGATGTTATAAAGTAAGATGCATTCTATTGTATCTTTCATTCTGTGTGTTGTAATGTGATATTAGCCCTAACTGTCCTTCTAATTTTATATATTGAAGGGGAACATTGTGTATTTTGTTCGGGTACTTGAGCGACGAGGAGTTCCACACTAAGTTGACTGAGATGAGAATTGAATCTCACAGACTAAGAATGGCTGCCAAACCTCCTCTCACCCGGTCTGATTTTTTTCGTAATATTGATTATCCTGCTAATCTCAATGTAAGAGTATATATCATTTTGTCTTGTCTGAACATGAAGTCACAAATCAATCAAAGAAATATCTGAAATTTAAATATTCAACAGGGACTGAAACAAGCATTGGCCGACAGGTATGGTGAAGAGTCTTGTCTTTATAAGACTGCTATTAAGACGGTATGTGACTTGCCGATTTTACTATTGTAATTACCTCAGTTCCGTTTTTATAATATTTCCATGTGACCAAGCCTTCTGTGTGCAGATTGAAGATAAAAAACCTGACTTTGAGGAGATGGTTTGCCCATCGCCTTTCTTGATAGGCCCTGGTGCAAAGGGCCATAGGATTAGAAGTATGAGTGTTTCATGGTTTAATGACAATTTTGTTTTGGGTTATGTCTATATTGAAGTTATCTCTTAATTTTTTTTTTGTTTTTTTTTTTTTGTGGTAATGGGTATATTAATGTTGTTTGCTTATGAGACGATTATATCGTATGAAATGATATAAAGATATTAGTTATTTCCTGCAATCATCCTTGATGCTCGTATTCTTATTCTTATTGTATTGATTTCACTTGCATATAACAAGCACAATACATACTCGTCAGAAAATTATTCCGGTGATACAATGTATCAGCTATCAAATTGTTCGCCTTCATTCATAGTTTAATTAAAAAAATTTGTTTCTGTCCCCTAAGTTGACATGCCTGTTTGTTCTTGTACCGTAATTTCAACCTAATAATTGTGAATACATGAAAATTGATTAATTTTTTGTTTACTGATCCTACATTAGAAAATAGAGGAATTAGCATCTTCCACTTAAGCAATTTAAAAATATTACATAATTACATCTTCTGTGTAATTATTTACAACTTGGCTAAATTTGTTATATTTTTATTTGCATATATGCCTAAAAGCTAATTTCTTACTTATTTGGTAACTTCCAATCAACTACATATCTCTCTTCTCCCTCCATTTCTCTCTCTTCTTCATACACGGCTCTTCCTTTCTCTTCTCACACAAAACCACCGCCACACACACAGAGTTGATGGCTGATGTTTGAGATTTATTTACATCACTACGGGAGATTTGCAGATGAAGAAGCCCGGAGATCGAGAAACCATCTGCCCCGATTTGCAGATAAAGAAGCTCGGAGATCGAGAAAAAAATAAATACATCTCGTGTTCGAAAATCCACCGTGTAAGTCTCATCGTCAAACGGTCAATTCATCCCCTATTCTGACGATTCTTGTTCGACCAGGCGACGCATCTTCAAAAATTATTCGGAGACACCGTAAATAAAAAAAGCTCAATTGACTGAAAATGAGAGCTTGCCTGCCGATCCCCAAGGTGAAAGTGAATCTGAAGAAGATGATGCGGTCCTTTTTAAACATGTTTACCGTTTCTTTTGTCTTTTTTTTTTTGTTTTTTTCTTCTTTAACCCGCGTGAACATATGTAGTATATGTTCAACATATTTGTAGTGATCTGATCTAACGAAAAACTTATCAGATGATAATTGTCGAACACTTGGTGTGCTTGACTTGTTGATAGATAGTTCTATTATGTACATGTTGCGGGTATATGTTGGGAGTATATATAGTATATTTTCGGTATATGTATCGATATGAAAATTTGTATATTTCAGGTATGAAAATTTACAGGTTGCGGGTATATACCAAAGTTGCACAACACATATACATAAAATATACGTACAATATGCATAAAATACACAATCGAGATTCATGTAATTCAAATTCACGATACCACATATACATAAAATTTACTTTAAATATGCACTCGATTTGCAATCGTTTCTCAAAATCGATCTCAAAACCCACATGTACATAAAATATACCTAAGATATACACTTGAGATATTTTCACGAGCAGATCGTTTCTCACGGGCAGAACCCACGTATACATAAAATATATATAATATATACCTCAAATATACCCATTTTTTTCGTTCTGGTTCAAATTTGATGCTTTCCGTGGTCAGAAATCTTGCGCAAAAAACATGGGATAGGATAGAGAAAAAGAAGTAACTGATTGTAGGCATGAATGCAAATAATCCTTATCTATTAGGTATAATTCCAATTAAGTGTTATTAAAGGTAATGTTGCAATTACTTAAAAAACGATAACTATACATGAAAATTTCCCTAGAAAATATCATAATTAGATTAGACAAGTCTACCTCAAACAATAACATTTTCTTCACACGTCAAAAAAAAAAAGAAAAAAAATGAAGCAACCCGGTGCGATGCACGGGACAAAAATAATAAATGAGTTATTTTCACAGCCTTGTCCGTTTAAGTCTAAAAAGTAATAATGTTATTATGTATTTTCTACTTCTTTTAATCAACGTTAAGTCAAAAAAATTATTAAGCCGCCCTCTGGCAAATATGCATGGAGTTATGTGTTCGTGTCTCATAAGTCACAAACATTATGAATAACATTACAAATTATTCATTCAAATTTTTATTCATTGCAAATATATTAAAATAGTTTATATAACAGCCATTAAATACAACTTTCAATATATTTATAAATAAAAAGTACATAAAATTTCTGGTGTGTCCAAATTTAAATAATTTTTGATGGGCTCAATTTTAAATCATCAAGACATTTGGTCAAACGCATAGATGTGTTCAAATTTAAATCATTGGTATTTTGGTCGGTTCAAATTTAAATCATCTACCATGGTACTGTGATGTGTATTATATATATATATATATATACAATTTTTAACAAATAATATGTGATTTATAAAAATAATAAGAATAATTTCACAAGATTTTAAACGTAAAATTTGGTTTCTAATCACAATAGAAAAATTATGGTAAGTTGTATTGAAAAGCTAAACAATTAACTAAAATAACTAAATAAAATACTTGATAAAAATAGAATGCATTAATTACCTTTGACTTTTCTTAGTACTAATTCTAGTAAATAGAATAACTTTTTATACAAGTATAGATGTGCATGTAAGATTTTTTAAACTATTTTATAAAGAAAACATGTATAGAAATAATTGAACTTAACATGTGTTATGTATATGTGAGTATATATATATATATATATATATAGGTAAAGGATCATATGAGAATGGTTTCTAGTGAAAGAAATAAGAATGAATTTGGAGCATTGGATCTACCACATCAATGGTTATGATG